ATTTTCAAGATTAAAAAAGCGTTCATGTCCCGCATTCCAATCCTCGAGAAAGAAAGTTTTACATATCTACCCCAAAACACTTGAATGCAGTTCAATACTGTCAATATGGTATGGCTATGTGCAGCTGTTAATACAGTTAACTCAAATAGATCTCAACAGCCAATCAGCAAGACGAATAGAGGAAAGCAGCTTATTTGGTTTAAAGATGTAAAAAAACAGGTTTAAAAACAGCAAGGTATATAGAAATGTAGGTTATATAACATGTTTCTACAGATTTACAACCAAAAAGACTTTTTCCTGGCTAATACTTGTAAAAACATAGAAACTATTCCTATTACATGTATATTATTGTATACGTATGTGCAAGCATACACAGGTGTTCATTTAGCAGTAAAGTAATTAAAGCCAATCAGCGACCAGATCTCCAACAGGGTGCACCTGCTGCCCATATTTGGGCATTGGCCTTATGCCCAAATGAAAAATATGATAAAGAAGACAACAAAACACAAATGTAAAATTAATAAAGGGAACTGTTTTCGTATATCATTTATATAAATTGTTGATTCTTCGTTAATCGAAGCGGCCCGGCAGGCCTCGTGTTGGAAATGAGACCTAAGCATTACCAGGCTATAAGGAAATAAGGACCAAAACGAACGGACACGATCTCATGTGACACATACAAGTTCTCCTCATATGATATGATTTGTATTTCTTGTACCATGTATGTGTAAAATATGTGTATCTTTTAGACGTTGTCTGGTCCTTACCTCCCCCCTTTACCGATTTGAGCCTCTTATGAATAAAGAATGGTTCAAAATGCTTACTCATAAAAATTCCACATGATCCAAACAGAACGTTTACCTTTTGATTTAATTTTAACTACGGACTGATTTCTCGTCTTTAGCAAGTTAAGCCCTACCTTCCCCCTTCCTATAGGGACACGGCGAATGTCACCAAATAAAAGGAAAGATGTTTTGCCCGTGTAAAAAATTAGGTAAATTGTTGTAATGAAAATTTAAGGCTGAATTGAAAAAAACAAAACAATATTCAAACACTGAATCGACTGTGGTATAATTTATTTGAGAGATTGCCTCAGACTTCATATCTCTCAGTTCTTGCTGAATATGCTAACTAAAAATACCCTGTACCCTTGACCGGACTGTGGTAACATGACAACTGAACTACATAAAACAAGCCACCTGCACGGGGCTCGTACATTTCGAACAAAAACATGTCTGCCTATAGTTTAATCATTAATTTTAAGGCATAATACAAGTAATAGTCTAGAGCTAAGCTATCCTCCGAACTTCAACTCATTATATTATATCAAAACAGAACATTGATCTCTTAGATAGCTAAAAAAAGTCAGACAGATGATTTACTAACTTTTTCCTAAATTAAATACGGTCGAACTATCTTTAGCTTTGGTAAGTACTTGTAGCCTGCCTGGGTGCCGTTACAAATTAGATGGCACCCATGCTAAGTACTTGAGGTGTGAATATTTAATTTTTCACCATTCTTCGCGGTACAAAGTAAATATAGATATTGATTAGAGGCATACATGATTGAAAGGGTTAGAAAAGTTCGAGCTTTACAAACTCTGGGGAGGTAGCAAAACATGGGCAAAATGTTTAAACAGGTCTATTTATATTTGCACACGACATCAAAAAGTTACGCTGAAGGCAAAAATTGGTCAAGGCCGCGAAAACAATGCGGACAGACGACCCCCACCCGCGTTATCAAAAATATAATATAGTCAACACATTAGACTAAAACATTTCCGATGCACACCACAAATGTGTGACTACGTAGAAGGCAAATAGTGTATATATAGGATTTAAACTTTTTAACGTTTTCTCCACAAGTGGTTCCTATCGGCTAAATGTTAAACTACATGAAGTCCGGCATTCCAGAACAAAGCAATACCGAAGTAATAATTGGAATCACTTATTTTATTTAGCTTAAAACTGGCGCTCGTCTATCGACGACCTTCAGAAATATGCTAACAGTTAAAAAGGTTTTATTCTAATCACCTTCGCAAAGAAGGTTATGTTTTCCGCAGCGCAGCGCCACTATTAGACTGCTCTTTGAAAATCAAACGAAGCTAGAGCTGTCTAGGTCTTTTAAAATGTTTTGAAACGTTGAATATTTGCAGTGTCCAAGCCAATGGATTGCTGATGCTTCAATAACTAGTAGGTGCCTTTTAGTTCACTGTACCCGGCAAAATTATGAGCAGGACCTTTGATTTGAACAGAAATATTATCAGTTACTTACTATTGCCACCGCGTCAATTCTTGGCCATGGCGCCCGGGTGTTGTAGGCTACATTCCACAAACTCCACAGAAAGATGCCGGCGTAATTTACCATGATGAGTACTGACAATGTCGCTATGGCTGTCATGCGAACACAGTCCGAGTCTTCAGAATCCACCGCAGTTCCATTTTCTGTCATGCGGCAAAACGTGTCTTTCAATGAGCATCTTGTGAGGTTGCAAGAAGCGGTTTGGTTGAACCCAGTCGTGGTTAGCTTTGTGGTCGCGCGGAGGGGATAAACAAGGACGAGAAGAGACAACTTTGTGGAGAAGATTCCCAACATCAATGCAAAGAACAATACCACCCCAAGTACTACCTTCGAAACCTTCGGCGACCAAACCTTACAAGACGATTGCTCGTCATGATCTTCCTCTGCGTCTTCATCGTCACGTTCGTTGATTGCCAGCAGCCGTTCCTGTAGACTTTCCTCGGTTGTGTGGCTGAGCTGAGACATTTCTATCTGTTCGCCCACGTTCGCCATGGTTTAACACCCTATACTGGCTGCGTAGCTCCACCGATTTCTCGACTTTCCTTCTGATGCGTTAGTAAATTACCATTACATCAGGGATATTCGCAAATGTGGTATAGGCTTCCGAGACGGAAGGATGCCAATATAGGCTCCTACAAAAAAGTAGAACAACCTACCA